TTCAATATTTATGTTTAAGTCACCATCTTATATGTTATGTCATTTTGTTAATATTGGATTCTGGTTATAGTATTTTTAAATATTTCATTTCAGTTATTGCTTTGTATAGTATGGCTTTTAGGTATAATTTCTATTTACCTTACGAATTTCTATTTGGTTTCATTTTGGTCATATATGTTGCTTTGGGATTTATTTATGTTTTAGTACTCATATTATGTAATATTTGTATATTAGTTATGTTTTGTTATATTATTATTGTTTTACCTCTAAAGTTTATGTTCTGGCGATTTAGTCCTTATACACTAGGCATGATTAAATTTTTTTACTGGTATTTTAGTTCATCATGTTTGTAAATATGCATTTTAGTCCAAATTTGTAATTTTGTTCTATCGATCGTTATAATTTCTATGTATATAAATTATGTAATTGCTATTAGCATTCTTTGTATGAATTTTTTTATTTCTTTTTGTTTTATTATGTGCATATTTAGATAATTATTAACGCCCTTTGTTATAAATCATCATTGTTCTATAAAATATGTAAAAATGGAAAGTGTCGTTGTGAGAGAAATCTACAAAGACATCTCCCAAATACAAGGGAATGTGTCTTTTCGAGGATTTTTCGCATAAATGTTTGTTTTATTTTCGATAATTTTCTATGTTTCTCGTTTATTTATTTCGAGTATTTTCACCGCTTTTCACTTTTATTTTATTTTATTTTATCTTATCTTATCTTATCTTTGTGAAAATTGCAAAATAACGTCTTTTGTGAAGGGAATCCATGGGAAAGTCTCCTAACTACAAAGGAAGTGTATTCCTGAATATTATTCATACAAAAGGACATTAATTATCCGAAAATTGACACTTTTTTACTAAAGTCAAATGAATAAAAGGATCTTGATTTAAATATATTTTTGAGTTTGTAATTCCCAATATTTAAACAACATATAATCGTTTAGGTACCAAAATTTGGGCATTGTGGGGGTGCTCACCCTTCCCCACACGTTATCGACTCCTGAACTCTTAAAAATGAATCTTTGGTAAAACGGAGACTATTTATTATCGTTTAAGGTTTCCAATCTACCTAATTTAAAGGTTGGTGGCGATTCAAAAATCAAATTATTTTCAAAATTGAATTTCATCGCATTCCCTGAATTAATTTTTTTTTAAGTCGAACAGATTCCCCCGGGGAGATGTTATGAAAATTATTATTAAAGCAATTATTTTTGGATAAGTTTTAATTGTATTACTCAAGAAGTGGAAAACTTCTACAAAGTTTTTTTTTAATTGTATTAAAAAAGTTATTATTAATATAAAATCTATTATAATTGCTAATCCGCCTCGGCTGAACGATGCCTTAAGTTTCGGCCCAGCACCAACAAATAAAGAACCGAGCAATTCGGACACGGCTGAACTGAGCTTTTCAGAGTTTGGGTTTGAGCAAATATCTTTGAATCAGATGCTGCAGATTAATGAATGGTATTGTTATATACCAATTGTAGACACTAATTTTTCAATTTCATTAAAATTATTCTTAATTATTATTTTTATTATTATTATTAATATATTATTATTATTATTTTATTACAAATAAATACAAAACAAACTCAAATATATTACAAAACCCAGAGCCCAGATGATCCAGCAAGACTCAAAACCCGTTTAGGGTTATTGCTAGGGTTTCTAAACCCTACCTCCCAGCCGCCTCAATCTTCCAGAAGGCCAGCCGCCGCCTCTGCTTAGCCGCCACCTTCACGTTGATGCTTCAGCTGCTGCCACGCCGCCGTCAATGCCACGCCACCTTGCCGAGCTTTCTAGAAAGCCAGTTGCCCCTCCCCACGTCGAAGCCCTATGGTGAGTCACCACCATAGTCCGGTGACTCACCTAGGGTCGCCAATTGGGACCGGTCCGAGAGCTACATCGTCGATGGCTATAAAAGCCATCGACCACCTGCACCTTCACGTTGATGCTTCAGCTGTGCCACGCCGCCGTCAATGCCACCACCTTGCCGAGCTTTCTAGAAAGCCAGTTGCCTCCCCACGTCGAAGCCTATGGTGAGTCACCACCATAGTCCGGTGACTCACCTAGGGTCGCCAATTGGGACCGGTCCGAGAGCTACATCGTCGATGGCTATAAAAGCCATCGACCACCTGCAAAGACGGAGAGGACAGAGAGAGATACGAACAGCAACCAAGAACCAGGGGAGCAACGGACAGAGCAAAGAACACGAGCAGCAAACACACACAAGAGAAATTAGCAAACCACAGCAACACCGACGACATAGAGCAACGAAAAACAACCGAGAGAAGAGTGAAGAGACTTACCAAGCGTCGTCGGAAGCCAAACGTCGTCCAACCGTCGTTTAATCGAAGGTAGAATCCTTCGATTTTGTTTAGATTTATGGCTATTGAAAGGGTTTTAAGAGGAAAATATGCTAGATTTAGGCTTAAGGGGAAATAAGGCTTCGATTTAGTCTATTTTCCAAGTTCCGACCACAGTTCACGGTGGCTGACGGTGGCTATTAACGGTGATTGTTGGCGGCCGGCTCTCTCTGTTGAGAGAGTTTAAAGAGAGACGAGAGGGTTCTCTCTAAAGAGAGAGAACCCAAAATGAAAAATAGAAATTATGGCCCTTTAGGGGGGCGGTTATAGGGGTTTTATACCCTCATCAAAACGATATGTACGTAATTTTATTACTGGCCAAACCCATCCTGCAGTCCCTCTATATTTTATAATTTTACGTTTTACTCACTGGAATTACATTTCTGAGCATATTAATATTGTCTTCGAATTTTATCTTATTATGTTTTGGTCATTAATCGGTAAATATATATTTATGATAAATAACAAATCCATTAACTTTGTTAAATTTAATTTTGATCACCGAATAGTAATTAAGGGTTAATTACACTTTAATCATTATGTATATATATTCGAATTAAATCTGTAAGTTTTAATATTTATTATAATCCTGTTATTTTATTCTATTTATTTTAGCCCCTATAATTTTAAATGATTAATTACTAATTAGGTATTTAATTTATTAGATTATATTTAGTCACTAATTTTAAATATTTCATTTATTATAAAGTTTTATTGCTTTTAAATATATAGTTCTAATTTTATTTATGTTTTAATTTTACATGTTTATATATTTAAATATTATTGTTATTATTATTATATAGCCATATAAATATATATATATAATAAATAATACTTATTTACTTATTTTTACTTTATATATATATTAAATCCTAATTTAATTTTACATAAATTACTTTTTTTTAAATCATATTTTAATATTTATTTATTTTTCAATATTAAGAAAGGACAGTCTTAAAGCAACTGGATGTCCATTTTCTGATATTTTAAATAAATATCTTACTTTTATAAATTATATCTATTTTTAATTATTTTTAGGTAAATGTTTTATTAATATTTATTTATTTTTTTAATATAAAGAAAAGAACTGTCTTAAAGCACCTAGAAGTCATTTTCTGATATTTTAAATAAATAAATATCTTATGAAAAATATAATATACTTTCATAAAATAATAAATTTGAAATCACAAAATTATGAATTAAATCTTTGAATTTTTAAATTTCCAATAATAGAGACAATTTATAATTAATGAGTACCAATTTTGGGCGTTGTGTGGGTGCTAATTCTTCCCCAAACGTAATCGACCACGAATCCTTTTTTATTATTAGAAAGAACGAAATTTTGGTTAAAACGTAGACCAGTTTATCTTTTAACTGATGTTTTCTTAAAAACTCTTTTAAAAGATAATTTTTAGGTATTCGACCTACCTGACCCAAAAGGCCGATGGCGACTCCCAAATGTTTTTAAAAACCATTTATTCACATCATTTTCCCGTCAAGTAAATAATTTCGTGCCCGGACGAAAACCGGTTACGACACCAATAACAATGGTGTTGAAAATAGACCTTAACTACTGTTGCAATTGTTGTGGTATTATATGTATTTCCAATGTATTCAACCTTTAATTCTCTTTTTTTTTGTTATGAATTTGCATATTAATAAAATATGCTCGAAAAAATGAATTCATCAACATAACGAAGAAACTTGAGCAGCAAGAACCTACAAGGCCCGAGAATAAAAATGTACAGAAATCAAGGACACCAAACGATTCAAGTGGCGTTCCATCTTCTGAACCAGTCAACCTTAATAAAGGGTGTTGGATGATTTAGAGAATGGACGTGGAGATGAGATTAATTTGATTCACTTAGATAATTAACTGTGACCGAGACAAGACAAGTGCGGGTTGAACTAGTCAGGAAACCACCAAGGCCATCTTGAGCCACTAAAGGAGTCTAAAGAACATCTTAGGCCACTTTGGTTGAAGTCGTCCCGATTTGAATAAGTATTTTCTTATTTATTTATTTATTTATTTATTATTATTATTTATTTATCTTTTGATTTGAATTTAAAATAAAGATAATGTAAAGATTTAACTATATTTCCTTTTAATTTTAGCCATTGATTGTATTTAATTTCACCCGTTGGATGTAGGGAGCTTCAATTATAAAAAAGGTCTACTCTCACCTCATTTTTTCACTTTAGTTTTGAGGAACAAAGCTGAGTATTCTCTCAAATTCTCTCGTTCTTGTTTGTGAGACATTTTTCTTTCGAAGATTTGTTTGATTCCACATTTCTTTTTAAGTTTTTTTACTTAGATTGTTCAGGCTTACTTATACGTTGCCTTCCGAAAAGTGTCTAGGGCCGCACGGTTCCGCTAGTTGAAATTCTAGTGACGTGACAATTGGACAGTTTTACGGTTGAGCGAATGCCGCATAATTGCATTGCATCATCAGACCTCGCGTACGATATAATTTTAGATTTCCAAGTAAGGTGAGATGTATCCATCAACGGCAGTACATGGATACTGTATTGTACTGATACACAACTTTTAAATCACACCCTTCCCCACCCTCCCTCCCTACCTTCATTTTATAAGCTTCTTGCCTCCTTAACCCTACACCGGCGTTTCCAAAATCTAGCGCAGTTTTCACTTTAAATTTGATTTTCAGCAAGTCCAAGGTAACGGACATGTCGGAGAAGGTAAAGATTTCACTTTCCTCTATATTTTCATTCTTCCGTGCCGGAACCGGAATACGTTATTTCCCTTTCGTTAGCTTAATAATGCGGCAAATTGCTTAATTTGTGATATGGAATTATTTATTTCTATATCTGTCATCAATCATCATTCATATGTAATTATTTTATGAAATATATGCTGCGTACGGATGCAGGTGACGATAATGGTGTTGAAGGTCGACCTTCAGTGTTGTCGCTGCTACAAGAAAGTGAAGAAAGTTCTTGCTAAGTTCCCTCGTGAGTTTCTAACCGTCTTCATTTTTATGCACATATATGTACATACGTAATTGTTCGTATTTGTCATTTTGTGTTGTTATGTATTGTTATTATTGAATTGCAACGCAGTAGTAGGGTAGATAGGTAGGTCTTGGGTGATCATTGAGATGAAGAGAGAAATAGTCTGAGTTGATATTTGATTAATGGCTCTTGTGAACAAGAGAAATACGAGACCAGATATACGACGAGAAGGCCAACACGGTGACCATCACGGTGGTCTGCTGCGACCCAGAGAAGCTGAGGGACAAGTTATGCCGCAAAGGTTGCGGATCCATCAAGAGTATAGAGATCAAACCACCTCCAAAACCTAAGGAGCCCGAGAAGAAACCTGAAAAACCCAAGGAGCCCGAGAAGAAACCGAAAGAACCTGAAAAGAAACCCGAGAAGCCTAAGGAGCCGGAAAAGCCCAAAGAACCACCGCCAAAACCACCAGCGAAACCGGCTTCTCCACCGCGGCCGCCGGCCTGTCCCCCGTTCGGATGTTGTTGCAGAAAATGTTACCATTGCCATCCTTGGGGTCCTCCCCCTTGCTACTTTGGCGGACCACCACCTCCACCCCCATGCTGTACTTATGGTAGGCCAGTTTACGATAACTGGGGCGGCGGCGGCTACAGTTGTGCGAGTCGTGGTTATTGCTTTAGCGACGAGAATCCACAAGCTTGCTCAGTCATGTAGCTGTTTTAACATGGCGCATTCTAAAAGATGCTACTAATAGCTTGGATATTATTAGTTACTTTTATGTGAAATTCTATTTTGTTTCTTTCTTTTCCTTGAGAATGTTTTATTGGTGATAAATAGGAAGATTGGTGTGTTTGCTTTCCTTTCACTCTCATCTTTGCATTTTAAGAGAATATATATATATATATATATATATATATATTAGTTTGTGTGGAGTTAATAGTTTGAACCATGTCCTTTAGTAGCTGTTATGAATTGTCTTTCTTGAATGTTTAAAAGCAAAGTTGGTAGCTATTGAACCAAAAAAAGGTTGGTAGCTGATAGCTACTTTCTTATCTGTAATTGATCGAGAAAGTTTAGGTTCAACATTCACGTCATACAACGTAATGGCTTTGTGCCTGCTTTGGTCAATATTATAGGAAATTGAGAGTAAAACTTTATTTTATTAATTCACCAAACCGAAAAGCTGCAAATGTAGCGATTTATTTATTGATTGATTGATTTATTAAATTAAAGTGATTATAAAATAATATTTATTTTAAATATTCTTAATTATTTGATAATAATTTTTTTATAGGATGAGTATACAGTGTACATCGCACACCGAAACACACAATTAATATAATACATCAAATATACTATTAATTAAATTATCTTTATTAAGTAAACATTAAAAAAATTCAAGGATCGCTCTATGATTAATCCATTGATTTTGTCGGATAAAATTTTTAATTTGGTCACTAAACTATGTTACAATATTTTTTTTAGATAAAACAATCATTTTATCATAGTTTGATGATCTTTTATAATTCTATCCTATTTTAGTTTAGTTAATGGTGTATTTCAATGAATAATTTTAATAATGTATCTCGGTGTGCGACGTTCGTAAAGTTTTCCCTTCCCATGAAGCCTTAACGAGCTTGGCTTGATTTTGACAGCAAAATAGGTGGATACGTGCTCATCTACAAAGTGTTTGTACTCGGCATCGGCTGCCTTGTGGTTGGGATACGTGGGTGTAAACTGCTTTCACATTTTGATTGTGGGGTTTATGAACGTGGGCTATTTCTCACGTTTGACCGGCGATTCATTGCCATGACCAGTCACTCTCCATTCAGCGTGTAAAATCATATGGATTTTGGTAGTTTTTTTTAATGGAAACGATGACTATAAATATGAGATTATTCAGAGGTTTCTTAGCATAAAAAAATTAAAGTCATTTCATTTTTAAAGATTTAAAATTTATATCTTATATCATGATTTAAAAAAAATTATTATAAAATTCGATATACTCGATGTTGATTTAACGTATTTCATGATAATTTCATGTGTTCGATGTGGTATATTATATTTTAATTTTAACGTTCAATTTAAATAGTGATTGAATATATTTATGTTTACGATTTTCCATTGTATTTACAAGGAAAAGAAAATACTTGGTAGCCAGCATCTCAATGCTAACGAGAGTCCCTGCTGATGAATGTCAATGCCGACTCACTACAATATATAAAGCCGGAAATTAGTCGTCAATTCATTAGTCCTATAAACTTACTTCGTTAGTGGTACTGCTACACTATCATTACTTGTTATATTTGCCATTTGATTAAGTTATCCATAAACTGCTCCCAACCCCAAATATAATAAAATATAAGTAGGTGATTTGACTTTCTGTTCTATATATTTTATTTTAGTTTAATTCTGCTCCAAATCATTGTACTCTTCAGACTTTTATAATCTAGTCCTTTTGCTTTTAATTTCAGAATTTAGTTCCACTATTTTTCCTTTAAAAAATTTCATTTGATAACAATATTAATTGACTTTTTGTTAATTTTGAACATGTGTTATTTATTGGACCTTAATTTTTAAATTATGAAAATAGAGGGACTAAATTAATTAAAGGAGTTAAGTTTTAAAAGTCCAAATTGTACAAAGACTTGGGTGGAAATTAGAGCTTTGCTTCTAAAACAGACGTGCGCTGACCTTGTTAAATTTAATATAATGAAAATTGCCAAATGTTATTCCTTTCAAATGTTAAGAACTCGCACACGCCAGAGTTATTAGTGGACATGCCTAAAACTTTGAAAATAAACTATACTACCGAACATTAACAACAGTGATATATGGCTTGCACGTTCAAGTCCAACTGTATCGGGCGTGAAACATTATAAATACACAACGTCGACAAGACACAGTAACTTGACAGAATCAACCAAAACATGGGGAACTGCATCTCTCCGTCTCGGGCCAACAAGGTTAAACCTGTTAATGGAGGAAAAGGAGAGTATAGAACCTCAACGCTACTCAAAGAGGTCCACTATGTGCCTCCTCCTGCTCATGGGGAGCCTGGCTATATCCCACCAAAACACCATCCGATATCTCTCAAAATCATCAGAAAAGAAGGCTGCCAAGGGCGCAGTAGCGTAAAGATTGTGGTTTCTAGACAGGAACTAGCGTTTCTGCTCAGAAATGTACAGATGTTCCAGTCTATGAAACCTTCCGACCCACCCTCGGGGACTTTCAAGCCAGGGAATCGGAGATGGCGGCCATCTTTATAGGCCATTCCTGAGGTGGCTGATTTTTAAGACCAAGTATGAGGATTGCTGCCTGCTATTTAAACCAGGGGGCAAAATCTGTAAAGTATTTCATAAAACCGTGTAAATAGTAGCCGCTGGGAGACTGTTGCTGCCATGTTTTTCTTGCAGTACTTTCTCTCGCCTCACCTGTATTATACTTTGTGATTTTCTGCTAAAATATTAAAGTGCTTTGTGTGTTTCAACTGTCACAGTTTTAATGATGACCACTAACACAAGCTCTCATCCTGTTAGTATTGAGGTACAAACAATTTATACCGTTCTCCGATGCCCATTGCAGCTCTTTCAGTTCACTGCATCAGATGGAGTGTTCTTGAATCTTGTCAACTAATCGGATTCAATTGCGACTAAATTGTAAGCTTATTGTTGGGTTGCCCTACCCGGTTTCTGTAATCTGTATTCCCTGATACAACTAGGACTTCTAGTACTACCAGTCTCCCTAAATGTGAATGAAGTTGCTCTTTCTCTGCATTGTTGTGAAGTCAGGGGGTAAGGATTGAGAAACTTATGAATGATGTTTCTAACATCAATTCAGCTGTAGGCCACTACAATAATCAAGTACTACCTTGTAAAATGTCCGCAAAGCTCTACCATTTACTTATTTTAAGGGATGGATCATGGATGGAGATAAGATGGCTATGCCAGTCTATGTAGCCTATAGCTCTTGTAAATTGAAGAGAGAGAAATAATGGAAACGGGATGAGAACGTAGATCACTCAGGAACACTATTCAATCATTTTCTTTCCATTAACAAGAATGCAAACTAATAATCATTATGCACTGGTTTTTGCTCAAAAGTGAGCAATAACTTCTCAACGCAATTTTAATTAAAGTTTTAAATTTGTAAATCAAAGAACCATTGTGAATAAAAACCAATCAATCTTCATGTAATGATTTTTCTACCTGTCAAAACAAAGTGTCAACATAACCAACACTCACCCATCCCTTCTAGTCATGAGAAAGCACTTCAAGGCACCTCTTTTTCATCTCAGATTCCTTAATTTCCTCCTCACTCTCTTCTCCGTCTACTACTTGGCAGTTTTCTGAATCACCTTCAGTTCTTTTCCTCTGAGGAATTACTTGAAAGAAGGAAGCTTTCCAGTCTTTAGTCTCCAGGAACTTGAGGAGTATCTCTATAACTTGGTTCACAGTAAGGACCTGAACTCATAGGAATGAAATGCTAATTAGATAATAAACGCTTAGAATAAACGTTTGCTTCTTTAATTGTTTGTTAGAAAATTAGTCATATAAGTGAGCCAACTACCAAGCATGACCATCATCAGAAACAATAATCCACACCCTAATCATTCTTTGAAAGAAAGTGGCACAGCTATAGCATGTAAGCACTTTGCATTTCAGGATTAATCCCCAATAGATTCCAGGATAACTATTGCCTTTTCGGGTTAACATATAATTGCATCAAAATAATGAGGTTAAAGAAAAAAACATTCAAGACCCTCTTTGCAGTGCATTTGTTCTATGTGATGAAAGCAAGCAGAGAAACCTTCTACATATAATCTCCAATTGGGAGTTTTGCCGTGTGAATTCCCTGTTCATCCGCTTTCTTCATGGTTATACCTTTCCATCGATTTCTATCCACCAATCCGCCAACAATATAAACTTTGGTGGGATCAAGTTCATGCAGCACAGTTTCAGAATCTGCCGTAAGGTACACTAAATCATCTTTCCGTTCGGAAAAAGCTTCGATATACGATTGTTTTTCCTTCTCAATAATCCATTTATCAAACCCAGGGAGCCTCTGCAATTGAGTTTCCATTTCCCCCTGGCATCCAGTCAACCAGAGGTGAGAAGGAACACTACATCTTCCATTTACAGCATAGCAGTACATAATCTGCAGGTTTCGACAACAACACAAAATACACGATTAATACAATGTAATAAAAGGAACATCTTTAGTCATTTACTAAAGATTCGAAGACAAACCTGTTGGACGAGGCTGTGGATCTCAGAGTGGGTCATGAGATGAGAGAATTCAAGATCGACGACAATATTTTGGCCGGTTTCTTTGGCTTGGGTAAGTCTCTGGATTTTCTGGCCTCTTTCCTCGGACCTTTTCCCCATTCTCTCTTTCCTTAATTCTTTTCTTGAATCTATGAATTTAAGCCTTTCTTCTTCAGGCAAGGCAGCGAGTTTCTCCTCCCATTCTTTTCGCTTCCTCTCCGCGTCCCTCTGTTTTTGCTCTTTCATTAGCGCTTTCTTCTCTGCTTTCTTCGCCTCGTACTTCTGTTGCTTCAATAGCTTCTTTTGGGCGTTCTTCGAAAGAGTCTGAGGCTGGGGCCCGGGATGGTTTAATTTACTGTTTTGCTCATTCTGCGTTGCCTCCATCGTTGAGTTCGTCTGGGGAGAATTGGGTTTCTCTTCTTTGCCTTTTGTCTGTTTGGGTGTAGGGTTTTGCTTATGGACAGTGCAAAACTGTGTGCAGGTTTTTAAGCCGACGTCGTTTCACTTATGTTCGAGGCGAGGCAAGGCAAGCGGAATAACAATCGGAATAAACCAACTCAACTGATTTAAAACAACAAAAATCGAACCAACTAAATTTTATATCTTAAATTTTATCTATTTAATCGGCTAACAGATTAAACGGACCTAATTATATATATATATATATATATATATATATATCATTGATAAAATATAATATATTATTCTTGTGATAAAAATATTAATTTACTTAGTAAAATCAAATCGAAAATGTCTAATTTTTCCCGGTTTAAACAGAGAAACGCAGCCCATTGGCAGGTGAATTCATGACACTTTTTATCAGCGTATCATGGTTTCGGATCCATCGGACACAAACAAGGATGGACACTCAATCCGAATTCAACGAATTTCGACCTAATTCGATTTGATCGGATCAGATTTTTTTTAAAAATTTGAGTTCAAATCGGGTCAGATTTTTTTAAATGTATTATTCAGGTCGGGTTCGGGTTTAGGGTGAAATATATCCGACTCAACCCGAAAAAATATATAATTTTATCTTATATATTTAAGAATAATTATAATAATATCTTTCTCTATATATTTTTTTCAATTAAATCACAGTTTTTATTAAATAAAAATAAAAATTATTATTATTTTGGGTCGGATCAAGTCAAATTTTTAAGTCATATATTCGAGTCCAATCGGATAAAACCTTATTTTAATGGGTCGGGTAGGGTCTAAGGTGGAAGCTCCCTTATTCTCGGGTCGGATCGGGTGGACAAAAAACCCAACCCGACCCATGCCCATCCCTATACACAAACCAAACAGCAAAAAAAAAAAGACCAACAGCAAAAAAAAAAGGCAAAAACGGGTCCTAATTACGCGCGGGAATAGAAATTAGAATGGGTGATAGGTTCGTTCCCGTCTCTTCATTCCTACCATATTTCTCTCTTCCTACGACCAGGTTACATTTTCCTTTTCATTTGCTATTTAAAATTAAAAAATATATATTTGGTTGTTTTTCCTTTTTTTTTATCATTTCATTTGTGTTATTCTTAAGATCAGGAGCTCAAAAGTAATGATTTAACGTCGGTTTAGCTTCCTCTTAATTTCATCGTCTGTTATTTAAATATAATTTTGATTTCATTTATGTATCAAGAATTAAAGCATGATTATTTAAAATTCGTTTTGCAGAAAATAAAATTATAAATAAAAAAGGTGCACCGGAACATATATATTTCTGTTGAATTTTGTTTGGGGATGATTATGGAAGGGTTAGCAAGCAGATCAGAGTTGCGGAAAGAGCTAGAGAGAGAACGCCGCCGTTTAAGGGACCGGCAAAGAAGGCAGTCTATGAGCCATGAGGAGAGAGAGAAGCACCTCGCTAGACGCCGAAGAAACTATCAATTGCGGAGACAGAGAGCTGAAACCGCTCGGTTATACACCCCTCCACCTCCCATTCAATTTCAAGAAACGAAAAGCATTTCAACAATTCACTCGCCATTAAACAATTTTGTTTCAAGTTCAAGTCCTCAGTTTAATGCTGCTGCTGTTGTGGATCCCCATCGTGGACATGAAAGACTAATGCTGGAAACGAGAAGCTCCCAGAGTTAGCTTCCACTGCTTTACTTCTAGCATTAATGGTTGCCATGTCTTGTGTTTCTTACTTGTTCCTTGTGATTTACTCAACAGGTTTGGAAATCCCTGTTCATAAGTTAGCTATTCTGCCCGGAAAGGTACGCTTGAATCGCATAAAACATCTGGCCCGAGCAATTAATTACCCTGTTTGTAACGGGGTTGCAATTGGAGGGATGATGAAAGAAAACAGAACTTCCAAATGTAAGTTTACGGATTTCATCTTAGTTTATATTGTTTTAAGGATAAATGTTTTCTGATTGATGTACATTTGATACCATTTATAAATGAACTGGCCAATTCCAGATTCCAAATTTATATATAAAAGATCTGTTATTCAGGTTTAGTATCGAAAAGATTACGATTAAGCCGTATTAAACGCATCGCTCGGTCAGTAAATCTTATTGTGCGTGGGACTTCTAGTCAAAACCATCAAAGCATAACAAAAGGTAAGAATGTATATATAAGTTCTTTAATCTGTACCATGGAATAAAAAAGAACATTTTTCTTCGGTAAATGTTTTTTATTTCATAATGCATTCTTTTATGTTGCTAAAATGAATCAGCCTTGGGGAGAACCTCATTTGAGAAGGCACAGTGTGTGTATATTTCAGAGTTCAATAACCTTTGATTTGAAAATGATGATACAAATTATAGATTTTGATGCTATATCTGATAAACTTATGGTTGCTTTTATGATGCAATTTAGTCAGTCCAACAGGTGTGTTTTCTGAGAAGATTAATTGAAAACTTTTTGCTATCATGTTTTAGGGTGAACATCTCTGTTGTACCCCTGAAGACAGACAGCCTTTTCAATGAGTTGCACAAATTTGTTTCGGTTGAAGATTTTGTAAGATTATTACACTAGTTGATTCTTGCAGAGACTCTTGCATATTGTTGATATTCTCTTCACGATACATCACATATTCTACTGGACCGGTTACACCGGAGCTGTTTGTCTGAAACGGGTGAAATGTTTGTATGAAAACTGAAGTCATCAGCAGACAAGGGGTATGCCATTTCCGTAGAATCCTTTTTGTTCTAGCAATATAACATTAAGAAAGAAAAATATACACGATTTGGAAGCTTTGTGCTTTGAACTAAACCTTGAATGCTTTAATTTTTTTGATCCTATAAGACTCTGCAGGTTAGAGAAAAAAAAAGGATAATTGCAGAAGCCGAGCAGCATCGCAGATGTAGAGGAGTGTTTAGAATTTAGTTGCACGATGATGGTTCATCTATTTGGTAGGACTTGATTTTGACGTGTCAGGGAGAGGGCTGCTCTCTGAGCTAACAAATATATTTGTTGTCTTGAGATAGGTTCGGTTTTGTACATTCAATTTCTAATTCTTCATTCACTTGGTTCCTTAACTCCTCCCTCTCCACCAAATTATTTCGTAATGACTTTTATTTTAATGGTGCTGGGAGCTCTCGGGGTGTTTTTCGCTTTGTTGGAGCAAAAAATAATAATATAAAAACAGATCTATTATGAATATTTTTCACAATCCAATTTATTTCATTCAGAAGATTAAGATTTAAATTCTTGAATTTATTTAAAAAAATATTCATCTGATTAGACCAAACAAACAATTAACTCATTAAATTATAAAATTATGTATGGTATAGAGTTTGAAAATCATAATTTAACCTAAATTTTTATATTTTCGTCGCTTAATTTCTTTTAAATAATGATCACTTATAGTATAAAAATATATATTATTAGTACGTATTTAAATGATAACATTATGATTTATATGTTTATTTTATGGTTCAAGTGTAATATTATTATTTATTTAGTGGTAGAGCTCAATAATTTGGATTAAATCAAATGAATTAATTTTAATAGAACAAATTATCTTCCTTACCATGTAAAAAGAACCCGAAAAATATATAACTATTGGGCTTTCGCGTTGGGCCATCCGAAATTTAGGTCTTCGGGTTCCATGAATATATTGGCTTTTTAATTCTAATGCAACAGCAACCCTAGAGAGCGGCGGCCATTAAATCCGGGCTATAAATAAACACCAGAACACCTCCTTCCTCAACGGCAGTAAGTTATGTTTTATTTAATATTTGTTTACAAATCCTTTGGTCGATTTGATTTGAGTAGATCTGCGTTGGGGAAGTTACGTTTTGCTTTTAAGCGTTTCATTTTTTTATGAAATTTTTACTTATTTTCTTGTTTCTTTATTGATTTTTATTCATTTCTACTGTGACGGGGGTTATTAATCCTAATCTATAACGGGGCAAGCCTGATTTTGTTTGTATATCCCTAAGATGACGTCACATAAAAACGCTCATTGATGTAGACGGTGCTTCCTCCGGGGAGTTCCTCCGTCGATGGGTTTTCTCATATTCCATCGCCTTGTGGAGCGGCGTCGCTGCTTTTACCATTTGGGACTTGCCATGAGACGTACATTCTAGTTCTTTTAATTTTGATATTTGGAAATTCTCTCTCTTTTTAACTTTATTCAAGCTAAGTGTGTAAGCGTTGATTTGGTTTCAACTGATTGTAGTATAAATATGACGGGGGATCAAAATCCCTTTCCTTGGTTTGGGGCAAATCGATAAATTATCTTTGTATATCCCAAAGATAACGTCATATAAAAACTTTGTCGACGTTGACGATCCTCCTTCCGGGGAGTATCTCCGTCGATTGCAGTCTCATATTCCATCGCCTTGTGGAGCGGCGTTGCTGCTTTTACTTCTTGGGATTGGCCATGAGACTCACATTGCTTTTTATTTAATATATGAAAGTTGTTTTTGATGTTTTCAGATTGTGGGCAATGAGGATAGCAAATACAAAATACCATCTTTCGGGACTGAATGGCTTCCAAAGCCTTGCTGTTAATTCTGCAATTCTGATGCCCATCTAAATATCACGTTTTTTATACATATTTTAATATTATTTTACTTTTATATAATTAAATTATTTTCGATTTAACATTACTTTTATTATATGGCAGTTGGTGATATACTATAATATTAATTTTTTTAAATAGTTTTATTTTAACTAACTACAAACATTGTTTTTATCGATTCATAATCTTTTAAGTTTATTGCTCTATATAGATTATAAATAGGGTAAATTACATGTTTATTATATAAACTATATCTTTTGTCCGTTTTAGTATTTAATCTTTTTCAATTTTTTTAAAATCTTTTTTAACATTTAGTTTTTGTTTTATTTTAGTGTATATAATATTTAAATTATCATTTTTGTCTGTTTTAATATCTAAACTTTTAAAAAAATCAAATTTTAAGTATGGTTTAGGTACTTAATGTGTTTTGATACATAATCTTTCATCGCTTAAGTTTTGGTATTAAAAATGAATATAATTTTTTAAAAAATTAAAAAATTTAGATATTAAAATGAATTAAAATACATAAGTTAAGTACTAAATGCATAGTTTAACCTTATAAATATCATAATGTCTGTTCTGGAATGATACCTAAACCTAAAGCAAGTTGGTGGGATGCAGTCATGCAGAATGATTTTTACACAGGCCAAGGGATGGGATGTTGCAATGTTGCTTGCCTGTAATTTTACCACATAAATCACTTTAATTTATTAAATTACTTTGGACTTACGACTATTCAATAAGATTGGGGTATCGAAGATGAAACATGTGTTGATGGTGTGACCTTGAAATGTCCTTTGCCATTGACTAATTGTGTTCACCATGAAATGCCATTAATCACTTCTTACACTAATACAAATAAAATGTAGCAAACTGACTCATTGGTCTTAGTATAAGAAAGTGTTATGTTTTTTTTAAGAAAATTCACAAATCTGACTAATTGTGTTGATAAAATATATTCATGTAATCAATTATTAACTTTTTAAATAAATATATAAGGCAACTAATTTTGAACTCAATTTGAACCATTATTATTGTTTGGATTAGATGAAGTTATATTCTATTATTCTCTGTATAATGTATACGGTTGGCTAGCTTGTATGTGCGGCCCTTAGTCGCTTTGTTGGGTTGAAATTTAAGTTTGGTTATTTAACTTGTTGCGAAAGAACAAAAAAGAGTACGAACGAAAATAAGAGATGCACGAAAGTATTTAGCTTGAAAGTCAAGTTAGTTTTATTTCCAAGATAAAGAAAGAATAAATACAATGGGAGTGGGGAGTCTCCTTTTATAATGAGAATCTCCTAAGAGTTAATGACTAAGTCTATTTCTATTCTAACTAAAAGTACATCCCTAATTTAGTTAAAATTCTAAAGGTTGAATCCTACTTAAACAATGATGGTGACTTTGTCCCTTTTTTTAGAGAGGATCGATCTTGGCTTGGAGAGGACCTAAGTCTGTGTGTGCTAAGCCTTATCCGATTCTGGTGTGGACTTGGTGCATTGGGCAAACTTGATGCGCTGCCTGATATGTCTGAGTCTGGGAGTGCTTTGGTGCGCACGTTGGACTCACCCTCATGGTCGCGTTCCGTGACAATATAAACACATTTCCTTATGGGATGTTCCAATATAATGAAAATATATCTAATAATTCTTTTTATTTAATTTGATATTATTAAATTAAATAACCCTCAAAATATATCTATTTCCCCTAATTTATCTACCCTTTAGATGTTTATTTATTATGAAAAGGCCGAATATTATTAGTAGGTAATTAACTCTGAGTTGGTTTTGGTGATGGGAATAAATCGATGTGGGTACACAACCAATCCCTTCTGTCTTTCACACTTTTAATTCTATTTTCAAATAATTATTTTAATAACAAAACTTAGATGCCTTAAAACCCCTTAAATATTTCTTAATAACAAAACTGCTTGTTTTTTTTATCCAAATAGCTCATAAAGGCTCCTACTATTGTTTTTGTTGAGAATAAATAAGATTAGTATGTGGGCCACCTCATGTATTATTTTATTACGTAATTTTATCCATGTTGAGAAAATAATAATAATAAAAGAAATAAAAAAATGATATTAATGTATTCTAGGTAGGGATGGCAATGGGTCGGGTAGGGTTTTTGGGTCACCCGACTCGACCCGAGAAGAAAGGGTCCTCCACCCGTGACCTGACCTGAATATATGACTTAGAAATCCGACCCGAAATAATAAAAAATATATTTTTATTTAATAAAAATAGTGACTTAATTGAAAAAAATTATATATAGGGGGTAATATTGTAATTATTCCTAAATATATAAGGTAAAATTATATATATTTTTCAGGTTGGGTTGGATTGTTTTACCCAAAACCCGACCCGACCCGAATTTTTTTTAAAAAAAATCCGACCCGATCGGGTCGGGTTCGAGTTGAGTTACCATCCCTAATTCTAGGTTGAATAATAAAAAATTAAATATTTTTAAATAGAAATATATATTCAAATTTACCTCATTTAAGTGTATGAAAAGAATAACTTTAACTCATTTAAGAGTATGAAACGTGAAAAATATTTTTAATTTGATATGCTTTGATAAATTAAATCGGATTTGTATATAGAAGTAATAAATATTTATATGATTCGATTTTCATAATCGACCCATTATCGTTTTTAACTTCAAAGATCTTCATTGCGGTTCCAAATATATAAAATTATGAAAGCTTGATAATAATTTGATTTGGTTTAATTTAATCCGCTTTAGGACGACGTTTTAAATTAAAAATTCAAACTTGGGAAACAGAGATGAAAATCTTCCATTGTCTCCTTAACGACTTTCTTGTAAGAAAATGATAGCCAACACCATTCTCTCCTTCTCTCTTCTAAATTTATATGTAAAATACAAAATGTTCATATCCGTTTGTTATCCAAATTCATTTTTCTCTTGGCCTCTCTGTTCATTCATTCACACCACAGGCACCCATATTTTATTATTAATTTATACATCCCAATTCCATTGATATTCAAAAACAGCAGCAGGAAGAAAGAGGAAAAGGAGGGCCTTTCAGCCCTCTCTTCTAGTTATGCTTCCTCTCAGATCTTAGATTCTATTGCTTTCCCTTCTGGTTTTTTCTCTCCACTGGTATATTTAATAAACCACCAAAAGCTTGTTTTTTATTTATTTATTAACTTCTCATTAAAGTTGATGCTTTGGTTTCTGGGAATCTTGGATTGTTGGTTGGTTCATTGTCGATCCATAATCAGTCTTATGTTGTTCGATTGAATGCAACAACATAAATAACCAAGCTTGGGTTGATTTCCGTGTTCCGACAAGGCACGGTTATCTTCGTTAAGTCTACATTACGATGTTTGCGTTGGATTGACATTTTAGACATTATGTTGAATTATTTGTTGCCTTTAAATTGAAGAAAGAAATGTTTCAATTATATCTTGCGTTATTTTCATGGAATTACGAGTCGCATTCTAGATCCGATGCTTTCTTTCTTCTCTTGTTGAATATAGTTTGATTTTTCTTCTGCTTATGATATGTTTATTCATTTTGTTTATGGTTGACTGAAAATCGAACATTGAACAAGATCATATTGGTATCGTGTTCAGAATGGAAATGGAGGTTGGCAAGCTATTCATCGGTGGGATTTCTTGGGGCACAAATGAGGACCGTCTTAGAGAGTATTTTGAAACTTTTGGGGAAGTTGTGGAAGCTGTGATAATGAAGGATCGGACCACCGGTCGTGCCCGTGGGTTCGGGTTTGTTGTTTTCGCCGATCCGGCTATTGCAGTAAGGGTTATTATGAAAGAGCATATGATAGATGGAAGAAATGTAAGCTCCCAACTTTTTCCTTTTACTCGTAATTTGACATATTCTGAAATATACCTTTGCTTAGATATTATGAATTGTATAACACGCGATTCAAAACATTAGTCATCAAGTTTCTTATCCTGATGTAGTTGATGGCCATTCATATAATCTTTTATCTTTCATTTTAATCAAGGTTGGTTGTTTCTTTTTTAATTAAAACAGCACTTTATTTTTTGTTAGTTTTTTTTATGCTTATATTGAACACTGTGAGGTTTGATTGGCAGCATGTTGTTGTTGAGTAAGAACTACTCTAGTAAGTAGTAACATGAATTTACCTTTCGAGGGCTATTGAAGGTGATAGATTTCCAAACATCAGTCGAAGTCAACAGCTTTGATCACCAATCCGAAATCGCTTTTGGTAGTAGAATAAATTTTACAAAGACCGAATGCTTATATTAGATGATTACTAAAATGGCACATATCTTCTTTCAGCTCCATTGGTAATTATTTAGCATCAAAGAGATGATGTGAAAGTGAACTTTGTATGATGGAGAAGAAGCCTGTCATTATAGATCTTATGTCTTGAGTTCCTCAATTGTAAAATAGTGAAACTCTATGCCCACAAAGCAAAATTTAGGGGAAGTTGATCAGCTTTGTGTGGTGCCTTTCTTTAATATTCAAAGTATTTGTGTACTTCTGATGCTAGTATTATATAGTGCGACTAAATCTGCGTATAACTCCATTTTCTGCCTGGCTTTATCTTCAGGTTGAGGCAAAGAAGGCAGTTCCCCGGGAGGATCAGAAAATTCTCAACATAAATTATTAGTGTTCTTGGATTAACTGGTCTTTCTCGCACTAAAAAGATATTTGTAGGAGGCTTAGCTTCTACGGTGACTGAGTGATTTTAAGAGTACTTCGGTCAGTTTGGTACAATTACTGATGTTGTTGTGATGTATGATCACAACACTCAGCGGCCACGAGGTTTTGGATTCATAACTTATGATTCAGAAGAAGCTGTGGACAAAGTATTGCAGAGAACATTTCATGAACTCAATGGGAAAATAGTTGAGGTCAAGCGAGCTGTCCCCAAAGAATCATCTTTAGGTTCAAGTCGGAACCAGTTAGGTGGATATAACCTTGGTCTTGGTAGAGTCAATAGCTTCCTTAAAGGTTACATGCAGGGTTATAATACTAATTCAGTTGGAGGTTATGGTGTTAGAATGGAAGTTAGATCTAGTCATAGTACTATTGGTCAGAGTGGATTTTCTCCATGGGGCCCTGGTTATGAAATGGGACTGAATTTTGACTCAAATTTTAGCCCAAGCTCTGGATGGAATTCAAACCTTAGTTCTAACCTGAGCCATGGACGGGGATTGAACACTTCGTTTAATGGAATTTTGAACCGGTTTGCCGGCCCTTTTGGGTATGATGTGGGAAGTGGAGTGCATAGTTCTGTCTTAAACTCAGCAGGTCCAAATATTTGGGGAAATGGAAGTCTTAGCTATGCTACGAATCCTATTGTGGGATCTCGAAGTGGGAAAACAGGTGCGAGTTCCTTTGGCAGCATTAGAGCACTTTGGGATTCCTCTCCTAACTCATGTCTCGGTGGAGGTGCTGCTTCTGCTTACGGCAACCATAGGTATGCAAGTGGAGATTTTGGTGTTGCATCTGGAGGGATAGGCCACGAGAGAACCGGTGATGCCCAGGTATCATCCCACGGTGGTTATGCTGATTTTTATGAAAAAGGTTCACATCATGGGGATTCTACGTGGAGATCTTTGCCCTTAGACCTACAGCTTTCTATTTCTTTCGATTTTGGTCTGAGAAATACACCACCAGATATTATAGCTAATAACTCTGCTGGTTACATTGGTGGTTATAGTGTTACTAATAGGCAGACAAATGAGGGTAAGACTTGATTTATTTTCTATTGTACTGTTCCATTACTCAAACAAATTAACAGCTCTGCAACTTTCATGATATAGAACATCATCAACCGATGCTTAGTAATGAAAAGAACCCTATTTATGGGTTATTAGTTGACAAACAGGTTCTTTATTGTGGTACTCATTTTCTGTTCCCTGCCATATTTTCCAGGAATCGCCACATAAGTTGATGATGAATTGATGATATGGTAAGGTAGGATATTTGTATGGTGGAGCGGGCGAATGACCGGATTTCGACATTTTCCCCAGCGAGATATTTCAGTTCCACAAGAAAATAATAGCTGATTCGGTTTACCTGTCTTGATGGACCTGTTATAGAGACGAGTTGCATAGGATTCATGTATGTTCATTTTCTAACACGGGTTTTCCTTTACTGGGATCAATTAAATGTAAAATCAAATTGTGGGTATACGCAGATTATTGTATTTTTTTTATTTCTCTTTCCTTTTTCCTTTAGAGTGGTTCATGTACATTGTAGATCTTATTGTGATGTTTATTCAGTTTGCATTTACATTGTGGAACCGTGGGTGGGATACTCATTTATGATCCCCTAGAATAATAGGATTCTGCAAAAATGGTGATATCATTGTAAAATGTAAACACACAGGTTGGCATGAATCATCAAGTCCAATTGCACCGGATGAGCATCTTTAATTAATACCAGAATTGTGTGGTTATTTTGCTCTCTTATCTTCTTATCCTTTCCTGCAGTCATTTCATCACCTTCAACTCCCATAAATTGGGATTTCTTGTCACTGGCTGAGTGGTCCTTCATTCAATCCTCTGCTATACTTCATACATAACTTGGGATTTCTTACTATTTGATCCAAAGCACGCCATGTATGTCGTTTCTCTAAAAATTGCAAATACTAATAAATATTATTTTATTAATAATCAATTTTCATATCTTAAAATTTTATAAATTCATCATTTAATATAAAATTTTGAATCCGTGTGAGTATTATTACTGATCCAAGATTTCAATACAGTGGCAAAGTTGCTGTCTTGAACTTGACGCCGTCATATGTGTTTGTTACGATAAGGGTAGTTTCGGCATTGTGAAAATTAAGGTTAGTTGCCCCATACAGAAGCCTTAAAAATATTTTATTGTCACTTCCGCAACTTGTAAGGCCATGTTTGGGTATCGAGATTCTCAAAGTCGTCGTTTGTTGAACGAGAGGAGAATGAAGACATGCGGGAACCAAACACATCGCAGTAAATTTGATGGGTCGGTTTAACGTTTGGGAGGGAGATATTATACAGGAGGATATTTATAAGTGATTCAAAAAGGGAAGAAAACGAAAAGAGAGGAGCAAAATAGATTGAGTGCTATCTTCTTTCTCTAATCTCTGATGGCAGATAAAACGATAGCCTCAGCTTACCACTCTCATTTCTTCAAACTTGCTTCTTCTTCTCTTTGATCTCTCTGTTTCTTTCTTCTCTTTACTTTCCCTTCTTTCTCGAGCGCTATAATTATCGTAGTTATGGCTTCTGCTGCTAACTGTGCAGTATATTTTAGCAGCAACATTAACTGCCTTACTGTATTTGAAATAAAAAACCATTCTTTGCCCGCTACCTTTGTTATCAGACAACCCAACACTTTTGGGAGAAGAAGGTAGGAATGTTCAATCTGATTTTTTTCTCTTTCTGTTTTACATCTTTGGGTGTTGTAATTGTTGCTTGAAGTGAAACAATTTAATGCATTTATATACCCATTGGAATTGGATAAGCTCATTTGGATGATGTAGTTAATTTAATCATCTTATCCAGATTTTATACAACTTGAGGGTGTCTTTAGGACAAAGATGGGTTATTATGCTCGGGATCGAATTAGATGTGGCATTCTAAGGCACGTTTAACTCTTTGGTTTCGTCTGTGTCAAACTTACTTGTCCATTATAGTTTTAAACCACACTGCAGATTTCATGTCTACCTTTGGGCTTTGGCTGCATTTTTGCTTCCAAACTTTGTTCAATTGCGCCGCTGTTATTGTTCAGCTGGCTTTGCACTTTCTAGAATTGTATATATATGTATATATCTTGACTTTTGATCATAAATCATAACAGTGTCAGATTGACATCATCAACGATAGGAATCAATCCACGGGCAGCACCATCGGCCACTGCTGTAGAGGTATGGAAGAGCAGCTATATATTTGGTTGATTGTTAACCATTTGTTAACTGGCTAATGTTCGGTTTCTTATGGTTTTATGTTTGAAGAATGATGGGAGTTTGCTTGATACAGTTCCAACCCCCAAAGTTATAATTGATCAGGACTCTGATCCGGATGCCACTGTGGTGGAAATAACCTTTGGCGATCGCCTTGGAGCACTTCTTGATACCGTATAAATCCAGTTTTACTTTACCGCTTTAGAATATCTATATTTTGCTTTCCATATACAATTTTGTATTCTCTCTTGTGATATGTGTATATTCTTAACTATTAGCTAATAAACTGCAGATGAATGCACTTAAAAGTCTCGGGTTGAATGTTACTAAGGCAAACGTCTATCTGGATTCAACTGGGAAGCACAACAAGTTTTCCATAACTAAGGCGTAAGTTGTATGCCTTTTAAGTTATGTCATGGCAAATTTTGCCATCTGAAAAAGTTATTTTCTTGTTTGTGGTTAATGCTCACCTAATTCAGCATAAGGTCGGTTTTTTGACTAGGATTATTTTCAATTGAGATTGAAACTACCCAATATATCTCTAGAAACATCAGAAGTGATTAAAGCTGTATTTACACATACTCCTGAATAACTCAAAAGTGACAACAGTGCAATAAGCATAATCTTTCATGGACTGCAAGATGGTCAAATATATACATTTTATAAGTTTTGAATATTCAAAAGTTTAGATCACATTTTTGCTTGAATTATTGGAAAGGAGTATAGTTCTCCATTTCCGAATAAATTCTTGTTATTGTGGCAAATCAATCAGAATCTCTTTGTCCGATTCTTGACGTAAATACACTCGGATGGGTTAAGGCCGAAATTGAATGTTCCGCCTCAGTTGTTGTAAAAGCTATTTTAGATGCAGTTTTACTAATACAGTGACAGCGTGTTTCTACAGTAGTACCGGAAGGAAAGTTGAAGACCCAGAACTGCTCGAGGCAATACGTTTGACGATTATAAACAACTTACTTCAGTATCATCCGGTAATCATCACTCCCTTTTCCTTATTCCTGGTGAAGAATCTCCTAGTGAAGCCTATTGACATGTGGTCCAGGAATCAAGCTCCCAGTTAGCAATGGGTGCAACCTTTGGTGTTGAGCCACCAAAAGAAAAGGTATTCCTCTTGCAAAATCTTTCTTTTCTTCTCACCCAATGAGTTTGGGCATTTTCCTATATTGAATGTTTGTTGAAACCTGTTATATTGACATTTGTTGTAATTCCAAAGGATACTTTTCATGCTTGTTACTGGGACTGGTGCAACTGGTCATAAATGTTACAAATTGGCAATCAATTATTGATCTGAGCATGATATCCCACATTAATCTTGGCTTAAATTTTTAATTCCTGGAATTCCTCAGGTTGATGTGGATATTGCAACCCACGTAAGAGTTCGTGATGATGGTCCTGACCGTAGGTACATGGTTACTGCAGTCTCTCTCTAACCGGTGCTTGTAGCCTTATACTAAAATTTTGACACTTATGACTATAGCCTTGGCCCCAAGTTGTGGTTCCCATGCCAGATGACTCTGGTGTATTAATGTAAATGAAAGGGTCAATATCTTTGGTTTTTTACGTTCTTCAGTCCCATAGGTTTTTATTTGGTTTAAAAAAATCGGTTCAGCTTGCTATTTGTGGAGACTGCTGATCGCCCGGGGTTGTTGGTGGATCTCGTGAAGATTATTACAGACATAAACATTGCAGTTGAGTCCGGGGAGTTTGACACTGAGGTGATCGACAATTATTTGTTTTCTTTCTGTCGCCAAAGAACTAGGATTAGATGATTATCTCTTCAGCTTCTTATCGGAGAATTGGTGTTGATTTTGTCTACCTTTTCCACCTAGGGGTTGCTTGCAAAGGCAACATTTCACGTCAACTACAAGGGTAAAGCCCTCATCAAGCCTCTGCAGCAGGTAAAGACCACTAAACATCAGCTATAGAGAAATGTGAGCCTTTTAATATAACAAGCCATAGGGATAACCATTGAGGTGGAATTTTGGTATATGAAATCTGGCAGGTTCTTTCTAATAGCTTACGATATTTCTTGAGGCGTCCGAGTACGGAGGAGGCTAGTTTTTGAGGCACCATAGCCAAGTTTAGGAGCAACTTACCAATACCAATGGGGTGAAGTTTTAGAATGTTGTTGCCAATAAATCTCCTTCTGTAGCAATTCTACATATACTCCCCTATTACTGTTACTGTTACTGCCACGATCATTGTTGTATAACTTTCTTAATTAATTTGATCACAACTTTCTCCACCACTGACTTTCGAATTGTTTGCTCAATTTCTGGATTTTGTGTGTAATTTGAATCAAGCCATCCCCACTTTTTTTTTCTTTTAATATTGTCTAATTAATTTATTTTTAAACTAAATATCCTTGACCTGGACCCGATTTTTAAACTAAAAACCCTGTGCCAATGCTCTCTTCTCTTTTGGCAGATATCATTTCATACAGTATATTTAGAATTAATTTTTTTTTATAACTTGCCATAGAGATTCATTATTCAAGAAAGTGAATATATATCTACAAGAAATCTTATTAATGAACAATCTCTTCGAAATTTATGCACATTGGGAATACCAGACCAAACCCCTACATGCAAAGCATTCAAAGGAAAATATTTGAAGTTGGACGCTTGATAAAATGTTATATATGTTGTGGAACTTTTTGACTTTGGACTCGCAAGATTCTGATAACACTTGAACGACCCAAGTGAAACATGTTAAAACCACAACGAGGAGATTCTAGCAGTAAAGAAAGGAATCACCAAGTTTGAATTTCATCTGATAGAACATCACTTCTTGGTAGAAATAGATATGTCCTCTTTTCCTCAGATGCTGAAGTTCATGGTTTCATAATTAATCATTTACGTTTAGGACAATCCTCCGGGCAGTAGTACAAACACACATTTGCTCTGCCAACTAATGCATGATTAATATAAATAGAAAAAATAACCTCAGTGACCAAAAATATCTTATAATATACGATTTTAACCAACTTTTTTGGATTTGCCAAAATGACCAACTAAATCGCAATGCGATCGATAATTCGCAACGCGATCTCCGGTATCGCAAATCAGTTTCCAGATTCGCAACGCGATTCTGACTATCGCATTACGATTTCCCAAATTCGCGTTGCGATTTTCCTAATTCGCAATGCGAATACGTAAATCGCAACGCGAATTTGGAAAATCGCATTGCGATTACGTAAATCGCAATGCGAATCTGTGAATCGCAACGAGATTCTGATTATCGCAATACTGAATTTCAAATTCGCAACTCGATTTCTGAATTCGTAACAGGTTTTAGTTTCGCAACACAAATGTTTTGGGTATATAACTACGCAGCAGCAGCAACTCATAACCTAAATCCGTAAATCGCAACTTATTCCATCTCCATCTATCACTCTCTCCGGCGACATCCGTTCCTATATCCAACGACATCCTTCCCCATCCAGCAACAGGTTTTAGTTTCGCAACTCGTTTGTTTAGTAAATTAATTTACAATAATGAAATCATCTAATGTTGATCATGTTTGGATAGATTTGTGTTTTGGAGGGTCATGGGAGAATGTTCATGGTGTTTTACAATATATGCCTTTACCCATGAATCTTCAACTAAAACTGTCATTAAAAAAGTTAACTTATGAAACTCTAATGTTACGTGTTGCAAATAAATTGAATTTAGAGCCCCTAAGTGGATTTAGGCTATCTTATCAGAGAAATTGTAAAGTTTATTTGTTAACCGACAATGAAGATGTTGAACGATTCATTGCTTACATTAGTGTTTCAAGTGATGATGTTACATTGTATATTGTTGAACCTAGAAGTAGTGAAGTTGGGTCAGTAGCGGGTAGTAATCAACTAAGTTTTTCAACCCCAGTTTATGATGCTCAAAATTTAATGGTCCCACCACAATTTCATCACCAAGCAAAATATTGTTTCACCACATTTCCAATACCAAACACAATCTCAAAACCCACAACCTTTCCCTAATCCAAATCCCAATCAACTTTCAGCACCAAATTACGGTTTTCATATTGACCAGTTAGACGATGATGAGCCAACAGAAAAAATTGTGAGTACTAGTCAGTATTCGAAATTTGATCTTGGTCAATACCCGGACTTTGATCTTGGTCAATACTCGGATTTTGATGATTTTTTCAGAAGAAGAAACAGACCCTGCGTGTAATGATTTTGATATTGGTCAATACCCGAATTTTGATGATGAAACAGCCGTTGCCGAGGAAGATGTTGTTGATGATAATGAGGAGGAAGTTACGACTGTAAATGAACATGTTGAACATCCATTCTGTAATTCATATAACACTGAAGAAGAAAAAGAAGAAGAAGAAATCCCCAAAGAAAAGTCCCCGAAGAAAATGCCACGGGAGTATAACTGGAATATGCCAGAATTACTTCAGATACCAGAAGAAGAGTTGGTAAAGATAGCAGTTGATTGTTACACAAAAATTATTCGTATCAAGAAAGATTATTGTTTTGATACAAAGGAAGACTTGAAGATAGCTTTGTATACGAAATGTGTGGAAGATGCTTATCAACTAAAAGTTAACAAATCAAGCAAAGATCGTTTCGAAACAAGGTGTATGATTGACAAAAACTGTACGTGGCGTATGGTTGCAAAGAGGATAAAAGATTGCGAAATGTTTCAAGTTAGGACTTTTATTGATAAACATACATGTTCAAAAACCCAAGTTTTTCCTCACCATAGACAGGCAAATAAAAAGGTGTTGGGTGGTTTTCTGGCTGAGTTAATGTTTTTGAATGACAGGGTATATCGGGGACATGAAATTATGACTGACATGAATGCTCGGTTCAAGATTAGTATCTCATATTCTCAAGCTTGGAGAGCCAAATGTTATGCCTTGGAATTGTTGAGGGGGTCGCCAGAAGCATCGTTTGCCCAACTGCCGGCTTATTGTCACAATTTAAAGCTGAAAAATCCTGGGTCGGTAACTCATATCAAAACAGATAGAGATGAAAGCTTTGAGTTGTTGTTTATCGCCATTGGTGCTGCGGTTAGTAAATCAATATAATTTTGTTGACTCATTTTTGTTAGTTACATGTATTTCACATTTAAATGATTATATTTCTTGTGTATATGATTTTGTAAATTCGTTCGTTTATTAATTGCATGCGCCCAGTTATTATAGTTGACGGAGCACATTTAAAAGGTCGATACCTTGGGGTAAACTTATTAGTAGTAGCCATGAATGCTAACAATGGGATACTGCCAATAGCTTACGGGGTTGGCAAATCCGAAACCTCTGATTCATGGACATGGTTTATGGGGCATCTTAGGGATTGCATAGGTCCTATTAGCAATCTGACAATCATATCCGATAGGGCAAACTCAATTGACAACGCTGTTAGAAGGTGTTTCCCAGATGTTTTTCATGGACTTTGTGGTGTTCATTTGTATATAAATCTAAAATCAAGGTCTGCTGGTATAAAAAATCACAAATGGACATACTGGAAGGCTGTAAAAGCTTATCGGGAAGTGGATTTTAATAAGCATATAAACTGTTTAAGACGTGTTTTGCCTCAGTGTGCTCAAACACTAAAAGATGTCGGGTTTGAAAGATGGTCAAGAGTACATCAACTTGGAGCAAGATATGGTTTCATGACGTCTAATAGTGCAGAATCAATCAACGCTCTAAGTCGTCATTCCCAGAAATTACCCATTACTATGTTAATGGAGTTTTTTCGAGCCTCTATTCAACAGTGATACTACAAGAAAAGAAACCATGCAGGTATTATTTCTTTAAATTATTAACTTATCATATATTTTACTAAGTATTATTTATTTAAATTTACAGGAACATTGGAACATCGTGTTATACCATTGACAGAAAAAAAGATAACGAAACATGTTGTGAAGTCAACGTCATGGAGAGTTGAACCATGTTCAAACACTTTATTTGAAGTACTGGATAATAACTTAAATGGGCTTGTCGATCTAAATGCAAAGACGTGTAGTTGTATGAAATGGCAAACATCTGGTTATCCGTGTGGCCATGTTATAAAAGTCTCTTCATCTAAACCAAGATGATTCAAGCGCATACGCTATGGATTGCTACACTACAGAAGTATATCGACAGACTTATGGCGAGATTGTCTACCCTATTCCACATCCTTCTGAGTGGGACATACCAGATGACTTACAAACAGTTTTGTCACCAGTCATGGACAGAAGGCTACCTGGCCGACCAAAAAGTCACGATCGTATACCGTCTAAGGGTGAAGAGAAGAAGAGATCGACATGTAGTCGGCACAATGAAAGTGGTCATACAAGGTTGACATGTGGATTACCAGTGCCATCACAATCATCTTTTCCTCTACCAAAATATGGATCCTCATCAAAATCCCAATCACAACCGGCTTCACCTTTTGGGACTGTTAACTTAGGTGATTTTTAAATGCAAACGTTGTATTATGTGTATATTATGTGTGAACTTTTAACATTTTCAGTTAGGCATGTATTAGTAACTTGAGTTTGAACATTGCTATGATATGTTCAGTTGTTATCACTTATTAGACATTCATTTGACTATCGCAACGCTGAAATCGCAACGCAAATATGACTATCGCAACACGGAAATGACTATCGCAACGCGGAATTGACTATCGCAACGAGAGAATCGCAATGCGAAATGAGAATCGCAATGCGAAATGAGAATCGCAATGCGAAATGAGAATCGCAATGCGAAATGAGAATCGCAACGAGTGAATCGCAATACGAAAATGAAAATCGTAACACGAAACTAATTTCGCGTTGCGATTTTCATTTCGTATTGCGATTCTCCCGTTGCGATAGTCATTTTCGCGTTGCCATAGTCTGTTTTGCATTCAACATAATGCAGATTGAAATCAACAAATCAACTATTACATTTCAATTAATTAAACAAGCACAAATATTATGTACACATCAATTAAACAAATCAACATTTACAAATCATCTTTTACAAATCAATTAAACAATCAAAAAATAATAATGAAATTAACTTTTGCACCCATACATCCATTTCACGCAGCTCACTTCAGGATTAACCTGCAGAAACCAAACATTGAATCAACAACACTATCTACACATATAAAACCTACAAACAGCAAATTGTTGAATTCTAGCTACTTAACCAAACATTTTCAAACCAAAAAGAGTATATATGTTTAACAACACTTGCATTTGACTTACAAATTGTTTATGGACACTTTCATAACGCGGATGCAGGTAGG